TTTTAACTGTCGTAATTGTTCTAGAACAGCCCCGTCCGCCAGAGACAAATGTTTTAATATCTTTTTTGTTACGGCCGCGCAAAAATAAACCCTCATTCACGATTACGTAACTAACGTCAGAAAAAAACAAATACATTCGATTAGATCTAGTCTGAATAAGACGCCCACGGTGCATTGGTAGTAACGAACACAATATCTGTCATTAATATCATACTGCGCAAGAACAAAGGCATAACGACTACATTGTGGTTATTGAAAAGATGTCCTCAATATCGCTGACCGACAATGTATTTGTTTAGTCTGACCGACCTAAAAATCTCCGAACTTGTAACGAGATATACCTGTATTTTCATATATTCAGCACGATTATTTTTCAAGTGAACTGTAAATCGAGACCCCAGAATTTAAATAAATACATTCCGACACGACCGCTTTGTGTTATGCGCATTGATTGGCATATACTTAAACGATATCTACATAGGTTTTTTTTCATTCGCGTTAAAGGAAAAAATAATATAAACTAGAGGTCCCGCAGTAGTCGATTTTGGACTTTAATTTATTTGGAATTGTAAGTTTGTACACTATTATGTACTATTATATATTTTATACTTCTATAATCACAAATTTCGCCCAGGCTACACTATAAAAAAATATTAATAAAGACAAACAATATTTAATCTATTCTCAACTTGACAACAGACGTCAAGAACAAAAGTTTGACAATAAATAGTATGAATGCGTGTGTGCGTCAAATACATGGTATGTAGTGTGTGTAATGTTTTCTTTATTGATTTAATGTATCATTTATGAATTATTTTAAAAAATATATTAGCATTGTGCACTTCTTCTCTATATTCTCTATAAGTTTGCAAAATTTCATACTCCTTCGACCGCGCAATTTTCGTAAAAAGGGATACAAAGTTTTTGCTTCATGTATTAATATATAGATATAAGTGAAACTACATTTGTGGTCGACTCAGTCGTCAGTGGCCACGAAGAACTGAAAAAAATGAAAACGTCGGAAATATTATAATGCCAATGAAAATGCCAGATGAAACCGTAAAAGTAGTTTTAGTTATGTCTACGACTCGGGTAACCGAAGAAAGTTCTAGATTTATTAAAATCGGCTAACTTCCTATTAAATTGATTTTACCGATAATACTGATGTAGCGGATTAGTGAATAGCAGAAGAAACAATAAAAATAATCGAAATATAATTTGTGATATCAAATTTTATTATTCTCTGCAGAAATTATAAATGTGAAAGTATTAAAGGCGTTTCAATTGAATTATTTATAATAAAAGCAGAATTAAAACTTTAATGTGAATTAAAAACTCATTTCCAACTTCATTTTCTAAGCAACGCTTCCGAGAGCACTCAAAAAGAAGCACTTTCCACAGCTTTGTATTAAATAAAATTGCATAAATTGTACTTTGTAAAACTACATTTCAGAATGTTGCTCCTAATATCTGTGTAGGGGCATAAATTTTTTGCAATTACCTTTTATTATTTGTTGCGGTCATTGCCATCGATAATATATACGTAGAATGCTTGAGAGAAATAGAATAAATCTCATATGAGTTATTAATTATTAAAGGTAGGGTAAATGGTAAGAGATCTCGTGGACGAATCCCCATGCGCTGGACTGATCAGGCGAAAGACCTTACTGAAACAAGAATACCACATGACCACGACTGCTCTGCCAAGAGCAACCGGCTATGATGAAGGATACTTTCAACAAGAAGGATCCCACTTAACAAATAACTAGTCAGGTCATAAGTATTGTCACACAGTAAAAACTTTTCTTTTAGAATGCTGGCCACAAAAAAGTTTTTTGAATTCGAATTTCGAATTGTTCATGAAAATAAAAATGTATAGTTTTAGAATTTTACTCATTTTTAAATATGGAGTGGACGCTTAAAGAAGACCGTGTTGCAGTTATTGCGTTGCATCGTTGCGGTTACGCGCCAATTCAAATTTTTAACATACTGAAAAATTTGAATATAACCAAAAGATTCGTTTATCGTACCATCAAACGATACAATGAAGACTCTAGTGTAGATGACAGGTCAAGAAGTGGTCGCCCTCGGTCTGTTAGGACTCCAGCAGTGATAAAAGCTGTGAAGGCGCGAATTCAAAGAAATCCCAAACGTAAGCAGAAACTGTTGGCCCTTCAGATGGGGTTAAGCAGAACCACGGTGAAAAGGGTGTTAAATGAAGACTTAGGGCTTCGGGCATATCGAAGAAAAACAGGACATCGTTTGAATGCTCGTCTAATGGACCTGAGACTGAAGAGATGCCGCGCTTTGTTGAAGCGGTACGCGGGAAAAAAATATCGGGAAATTCTTTTTTCGGATGAAAAAATTTTTACCGTAGAAGAGAGCTACAACAAACAAAATGATAAGGTGTACGCACACAGTAGTGAAGAAGCGAGCAACCGTATTCCGCGTGTCCAACGAGGTCATTTTCCATCCTCGCTCATGGTATGGTTGGGAGTTTCTTATTGGGGCTTAACAGAGGTACATTTTTGTGAGAAAGGTGTAAAAACGAATGCAGTTGTGTATCAAAATACAGTCCTGACGAACCTTGTGGAACCTGTTTCTCATACCATGTTCAATAACAGGCACTGGGTATTCCAACAAGATTCGGCGCCAGCTCATAGAGCGAAGAGCACACAAGACTGGCTGGCGGCGCGTGAAATCGACTTCATCCGGCACGAAGACTGGCCCTCCTCCAGTCCAGATTTGAATCCGTTAGATTACAAGATATGGCAACACTTGGAGGAAAAGGCGTGCTCAAAGCCTCATCCCAATTTGGAGTCACTCAAGACATCCTTGATTAAGGCAGCCGCCGATATTGACATGGACCTCGTTCGTGCTGCGATAGACGACTGGCCGCGCAGATTGAAGGCCTGTATTCAAAATCACGGAGGTCATTTTGAATAAACTTTAGTGTCATAAGAATTTATGTTTTGTTAAGTTCATTTTGGTATATGAATGGTTACATAATGAATAAACTTGTTTCAATTATTTTACATTAAACATGTGACAGAATGTATGTATGTATGTATTCATCTCTCTCGCGGATTTAGTATTCGAATTTCTATACCTTTGACATTAATACTAGTTCTTTAATAAAATAAAATTAACTGTATAGTTACCCTTAAAACTGTCTGTAACTTGAATTGTAAACTGTATCTTCAGTGCACATTATCGTATTTATTGGTTTTATGAAAAAAGCTTATTCTATCAGTAATACAGATGACGTTAACTTTTCTGTCTTTTATATAAATACATGATATTCATATGAGCCTAAATTTGTAAACAGATTTATTTTCCACGGCACAGCCAATTTTAAAGTAGTTTGACTGTTTCATTCGAATTGATTTACAAAGGTAACAAGATTGAATGAATTTAAAAGCACATATAAAATACTCGTATTGGGCATACGCTCAGATGTGGTAGTATTATAGATTCTGTGGTTATAATAAATAATTTATTCCAAGTCGTGACTCATTCTTGTATTTTTAATTTGCACGGTCATGTATGACTACATTATTTTTCGTCACATATGGCCGCTATTTTAAAAAGTTTCTTGGTTTTATCATTATCCTATTTTGATATAGATATTTGGGCTATTAGACAAAAAAAATTATTGAAATTGTAATTATTTCACTATAACTAATTAAATTAGTACCGCTAATTGTTGACATAATTGGATAGGTTTATTCATAGATTTTTTTTCTAACGGTAAACCTGTGTGTATGCTAGGTTATTTGTTTTACCTGAATCAACTGGAACAATCCTACTTTTTTGTCTTTACTGGTGGTGCTAGCCCAATAGTCAAAATTCGACTATACTTATTTATAGTCAGGAGTTTGAACATTATTATGGTTCTATTGTCTATAATCACAGATTTCGCCAAGGCTACATACACTATGGACAAATGAAATTAAGGACAAACAAGATTAATCAATTCTCAACCTGAACGCAGACTTTAACAATAAACAAAAGAGTATATATGCGTGTGTGTGTCAAATACATACAATGTATACATACAAATACATTATTATACTGATTTAATGTATTTTTATTTGCAGAATTTGAAGAAAATATTATGATTATACATACACTTCTTCTCTATATTCTCTATAAGTGTGGGAAATTTCATACTTCGGCCGCGCAATTTTTCGTAAAATGGGGTACAATTTTTTTTCTTCACGTATTAAAATATAGATAATTGTATAATAACAAAGTATACATTTTAATTACTTTATTCGTTTTTTAAATTAACGAAAATGGATGTTCACCGAAGGCGAAAAAAATAGAAATGGAAATAATTCGTGGTCGTTAAGAAAGAAAATAATGATCCGTTAAATAAAAACTTTGAAATAATTCTTTGACACATTTGATTTGCGTGAAACAATGAAAAGTTATTCGCCTATAATGTAGAATATATTTTAAGTCGAAAAACATAAAACTAGACTAAAACTTCAATTTAAATCAGCCGAGTATTATGATGCTATTTGAAAAGGCTTAGATTATTAACCCGTAACTTGTTAATGCATTGAACAGGAAATGAGAAATTGGGTGCGTAGATATTCTTCCATGCTCCTGAGCTTGAGAGAGTCGAGGAGTAATTAGGCATTCTGTGATCGAGCATGTTTTATTCTTTAGTTTAAAATCTTTTTATACAATTATTTTAGCTGACAATATGCTGTTTCTAAGCTTAACAATATGAACATGGATTATTTTAAGTTTATCACCACAAAAAGTTGACAATCCCCTATGCTGGAAAACCAATAGATGCTTCTTAATAAAGCCTATTTTCGGACTTCGCTCAAAAGTTAGTTACACCTACAAAACGATTTCCGTCGTAACATGATTTTCAATTTTTAAATCCTTCATGCCTCCTACTAAAATTGAACTTTGTAGACGTTAAAGCTTTTGAACTTTTGTTCTTATAACTTTTAAATGACATTCTTGTTTATTTGTTACAGAGGGCATTGGCTCAGCAACAACACTACGCTACAGCGGGTAAGTCTTGTGTTCTTAACCGACTTAAAAAAAGGGGATGTTCTCAATTGATGGTTTTTTATTTGTGCTAGCTCAGAACTTTTTTGTAGGTGAACCGATTTTGATGATTCTTCACACTTTCTACAGGTGCGTTAAGGGTTGGTTTTTTGAAAAAAACTTTAGTCAAATGCACTTATTTATCCATATTTCTTAGGAGTCATTGGACTAACGGTCTCAATTGTGTTATGAATTTTTGTTCGTTTCGAAAATATTGACTCATGAGTATAAAAGTAGGTGAAAACATTTTCTTCAAAAGTAATAATAAAAGATGGATAGCTATTCTTTCTCGACTCTCTAAAAGAGTTCAAACATTTTCTTATTTAGTTTGATAAGGTTGAATAGGTTTTCCTAATCATATTCCTTATTAAATTTCTACATTCTCTTTTCTATTTTTATCATTTTCTTAGAATTATTAGATGTTTTTTTAATATTCGTTGTCAGTAACGGCGCTATGACTTCATTTGGTCAACTTTTTTTTTTGCGCAATTTCCATTATCTGCTGCCTAACCTTAAATACTGATATTATTTCTAAGTTTGAGTAAAGTGTGTGAAGACTCTTCAACAAGTATCTTCTAATCCAGTTCTTTTGCTTAAAATATAAAAAAAGCTCATTTGATCTCTGCGTTATTGCGATAGGTGTGTACATACATTCCAAAATAAAAATTAAGCCTTTGTTTTCAAAGCTTGTAGCTGTGATTGGAATAAACGATATAAATGATTCATTAATAAAATAATGAAATATATTCGAAACGTAGCCAAATGTGTCGATTAGTAACGTAAAACTTACGTTATGTATAGACTTATTGTAGATGCCTATTTTTACGGCTATGAGAATTGAACATCATAAAGTATATCTTTATAATAATCTAATATTATATCAGCTATCTCAATTAATAATAATGAAAATTAAACAGAATGTTAGTAGTACCTACTATCCTGTTTGTTTTTGCTGCAAAATAATATATTCTGTTTCGTACAACTAACAGTAAAAGATGAATCCAATGCATTTGGGACTTCGACCTCTTGTCACAAGGTGGCATTCACGTTGTAGCGTCATTATGTTATCGATTTCATAAAATTTTCGCTATTTGACTTAAACGACATTTTGTTTAATACCCGATATTTATCTTTGTAATTAAAAGTGCGATTTATTTAGTACTAGCATCAAAAGTTCGATATTTTTAATTGAACTTTAATTAAGTTTACTTCATTGTAATAACTGAAGAAGTTTTTTTGTTTTTTTTTTCCAAATTAAAACCTTAAATGGAAGAGCCACGTTTGCGACGAAGGGCTCGGCGAGTAAATTAACCCACGGACACAGCCCACTGAGTTTCCCGCCGGATCTTCTCAGTGGGTCGCGTTTCTGATCAGTAGTAGGTTAGGTAGATTCTGTGAAGCACTGCTCTTGCTAGGGTTCATGTTAGTAACGACGTCAGGTTTGAGCCCCGTGAGCTCACTTACTTGTGAGGGTTACGCTGAAATGGCCTCTCAAGGCCATCAGCTTAGGTAGAAAAAAAAACCTCTACGGTAAAGTTGCAAAAATGTCACTTAAACCAAATAGCCTTTCACCTCTCTTTATATCCTATATTATTTCGACCGCGAAGCAGTAATGAGTTTCGGTTTGAAGGGTGGGATAGTCGTTCTATCATAGAGCTGAAACTCAGACCTCACGTCTCAAGATAGGTGGAGGCATTTACGTTGTTGATTTCTATGGGCTACGGTATCCACTGAACACCAGATAGACCGTGGACTTGGTCATCCGTTTAAGCAATAACAGAAAGTTATTTTTTTCTAGTCATTAAATAATTCAAGTCTAGCTTCTAGTCATTTAATTTCTTGAACCAATTTCTTGTCCCTATTTAAATTACGAAGCTCTTAAAGAGCTTTGAGTTCAAACTTGATCCTTCTAACAATTCAAACGTTGCTTAACAGAAAAAGAAAACTTTTTAGTGCCTGCTGGTTAGCGGTTTTACCACCCTAATAATTACTTAATTATCCGTTGGTCCCTCCTTGATTTACAATGTGCTTTGAATGAACTATAAACGTAAACAATTTGGATACAAAACTTGGCCTTAAGTTAAAGATATTTTCAGATTAGAATATACATGTGAAAAATTATTTTAATGTATTAATTGTGTAAACAGTAACACCGCATATCACTAACCCACGTTTATTACACATTTTATCCTGAAGAAACACTAAAGTAACAAAATAAAATAATTCATGCAAGTTCGTTCCTCGCTTTCCCGCTAGAAAGTCACGACAGGTTCTAAACCCAAATATCTTGGTTTTTTTATCCTGGCTGTATATAATAGACAGACTATTGTCCATTAAAATTTGTTAATTAACTTCATAATTTGAAAGATGGTTATGCGACATCGCGTTTTAATATCGCAAATTCACATACTAATATATATTCGGTTCTGATTATTGCAAAGGCTATCGGCGCGGCGTCGGCCCTAACTTAATTGTTTTCTGATTTCATAAACCTTAAACATGTAATTAGGTTAATAGCATTTATTACATTAGAAAAATCATAAAAATGGATCGTCTTATAAATTATCGTCATGTTATGTAAATTCTAAGCAATAAACTATTTTCCTGAATTCAGACACGGTATTTCCAATTTTTTTAAAATGCTTAAATAGTAAATTTTCGCGATGAAATTTAGACAGCTTTGAATTCGTGTTTTTATACATGAAAGTTTGTTTTATTATTAAACTTTTTGTTTAAACGAGTTATTCATTATATAAAAAGTGATTTGTTAAGTGTAGCATTGACTTGTAAACGATGATAAATATAGTAATTTATATTGCGAATACAAACTTATTTTATTTCTGTGGCGTGTATACAAATAGCTTATCGGCTACTAATATGACCTATTAATCGACAATAACAGCTTTATTTCTCAAGAATTTCCTCTATACTTACTTGGCTCCGTATCAAATTTTCTGGCTATATATTATGGAGCAGTATAGTGGAATATTGTAGGTTTTACTACAGGAAAATAACTGTTTGCCGAGAACGAAGCATTTCAAATGTTCGGGCATAATTATGTTTAATGTTGACAAAAATGTATTGTCTCCAAGGTTGAAGAAAGTTAAATCAAGAATTGTACGTGTTGCAATGTTATTGCCTTGTTGGGACAAATAGCTTCTCTTAAAATCTGTTTTTGACAAGGAAATAATTTAGAACTATATATATGTACTTCGTAAATTCCAAGAACAAACAAGTTTTCGAACATTGACCTCGCGATTCAACAGGAATATTATATAATAATTATGTTTGTACAACGATAATGCATAATGTTATATTTCAAACTTTTAAATATTAGGGATTAAAGTATGAAATTGCCGATTGGTACTGATAAATTGAAATTCGTTTTTTTTTTTCATTTAACACCTTTATTTAATCAAATATCTACCATTATTATCTATACATTGCTGCCATCTAATAAGAAGGACATTTATGCCTTTGCGATAGAACTCTGGTGATCTAGATTATACAAACTGTGAAGCATGAAAGCATTTTGTACTGCTTCCTGGGAAGAAAACTTTTTATCGCGTAGACTGTTACAATTATCTTTTTATTGGTAAGCTTTGCTTTAGGACACTGTTTGCGTTGCGATGTTTGACTTGGGGTCAGCCCATTGCATTTTTCGTTTGCGGTTATCGTAAAGAATCCACTTTTCATCACATGTCACAATTCGATCCAATATTCCATCATTTCTGTATCGATTCAACAAAGCAACACAAGTTTCAACACGCGTTTCTTTCTGCAATGTCAAACCATGCCGCTAATTTCTGGGTGGTTTGACTCGGATCGGCTTCCACCATCTCTTTCAATTCATTGTTAATCACATGTGTGGTTCATTCTTCAAATCGAAATTTCCATCACGAAAGCGTTCAAAGCACGGTGCCAATCGCACGGTGCGTTCATTATCAGTCCCCTCTCCAAACGCAACATTGACATTGCGAGCTGTTTCTGCAGCGTTAGTTCCGCGACGGAACATGTATTCAAAAATCACTCGAATTTTCGAAGTATCCATCTTTCTTGTTTAAGCTGAATAAAAAAAAAACAACTGAAAGTCGATAATCGAATTTTGCACATTTTTTAAAACAAGAACCTCATAGGTACCATTTGAAAAAGTTTCACTCAAAAATCTCAAACCATGAAGGTTCTATGTCAATTCGAAGTACCTATTACAATAGAACAGCAATTTCATACTTTAACCCCTACGAAACGAATCTTTTGAGTATTAGTTTATCATATCATGATTGCTTTTCACATGCATTGTTCTCGTATGCTATTACTTCAATATTTTCATTAGTCTCTTGTGATTGTTATCATCTACTTTCATAGACTAAAGATCTTTATCAAAATAATAATGATCATGTGACAAGATTTCTGATTTTGAGACAAATTAATGATATCAAAATCGTTCCTAGTTAGTGATAGCAATCGTAAATGAAGATTTTTTCAAAAAAACTTTAGGTTAAGATTATGTCGTCAAATGTGCAAAAGTCATCGTAACCCACAAGAATATGACCAACTGTGTACTCGTATCAAGCAATACGACAATGGCGGTGTAATCCCGTGTTCATAAACTACATCCACGATTATTGAATAATGTCGTGTAATAAACATCAAACTCGTAAAACTTATAAAATTGCGTATTCTGAATTCCTCGACTTGCCTTTTACTTACTGCAAAGGAGTCACGCGTTTGATGGTTTGGGAGAGCTATTTATTATACAGTAAAAAAAGCGATTTCGACATTTTGTCTCTAAATAGGTGGTGGGATTCTCGTTGTGATAGTCTACGGGCTACGATAGTCTCTTTACCAATACCAGTTGAACCTTGATCTCGTTTCAGACATCTAGTACATTAAAAGAAGTTTGCATAAAAACGTGTTTATCTTTAATTAAATCTAAAGGAAAAACTTAATCTAATTAAAAGAAT